GATTCCAGACAGCACTGGGGAAGACAGAGTAAAGACTCACCAGTGTATTTATACTCTTCACGATGTCTTTGTTAGAAAAGTAAAAATGCTGAAGAAGCCCGAGTTTGAATTGGCAAAGTCATGGAGCTTCATGATGATGGTGGTAGTTCTGGAAAAATTACTTGTTGTGAGATAGAATCTAAAGTTGAATGAGCTGAGGCTAGGAAACACCAGTCCAAGAATCTGTTTAAAATTCACAGTTTTGCAGGGCATGGTAGTATATGCCTTTAATCCCAGCACTGGAGAAACAGGCAGGCAGATCTCTGTGAGTTTGAGACCAGCTTGGTCTACATAGAAAGTTCTAGGCCAGCCAGGACTGCATAGACCTTGTTTCAAAGAAAAAATTTCAGATTTTTAAAAATGATAAATAGGGCTGGGCGTGATGGCACATGCCTGTAGTCCCAGCACTTGGGAGGCAGAGGCAGGTGGATCTTTGTGTGTTCAAGGCCAGCCTGGTCTACATAGTGAGTTCCAGGCTAGCTGGGGCTACAGGGAGACCCTGTCTCAAAAAGACCAAAAAATAAATAAATAAATAAATAAATAATAATTAAAAATGACAAATAGTTTAATTTGTGAAAAAAATTCCCCACCAAGAGTGAATATTTGAATTGGACATATTATTGAAGGGAAAAATTTTTAAGTGGTAAAATCATGACTCATGCAGACATGAAATGAATATGGGTCAAAGGTTTTTATTTAATTCATTAATTAAATAAATGAATAAATAAATAAATAAATAAATAATGGAACCAGGAGATGTTGCAATGAGTTCAAAGGAATTACTAAAGACCAGATAAATGCATAAACCCATCAGTAATGCTGACATCAGTTTTCTTTTCTTTTCATTCTCCCTTCTTTCCTTCTTTTCTTCCTTTTACCTTTTCCCCCCTTTGGCAGTACTGGGAATTGAATCTAGGGCACCATGGATGGGAGGCAAGTGTCCCACTGAATTACAGCCTCAGAGAGGAAACTGATTTTCTTTCTGTTTTTTTTTTTGTTTGTTTGTTTGTTTGTTTGTTGTTGTTTTGAGACAGGGTCTCTCTGTAGCCCCAGCTGGTCTGGAACTCACTATGTAGACCAGGCTGTCCTCTTAATTTTCTTAATAGATACAAAGCTGGTCTGTTACACAGTGGGAAGAAGGAGGTCATAAGAAACTCAACAAATAGAATTTATCTGCATGTCTGAAGATGATTTATTCATAATATCAGTTTTCTTTTTTTCTTTTTCTTTCTTTTTTGGTCTTTTTGAGACAGGGTCTCCCTGTAGCCCCAGCTGTCCTGGAACTCACTATATAATATCAGTTTTCTAAAAACTTGTATGTCTTCAGAATTGTTCAACAGCTCAGAGAAAGGCATACACCCCATAGAATCTGATATGTAGAAAGAGAAGAGTCATTTTCCACTTCCCAGTAACCTTTTGGTCCCTTTAAAAGTTATTCACAGCCAGGCATGGTGGCTCACACCTTTAGTCCCAGCACTTGGGAGGCAGAAACAGGCAGATCTCTGTGAGTTCGAGGCCAGTCTGGTCTACATAGTGAGTTTCAGGACAGCTAGGATTACAGGGAGACTCTGTCTCCAAAAAAAAAAAAAAAAGAAGAAGAAGACCTAAAAGTCATTCACACACAGAAAAGAAATAAAGAAATAGAGAGAGAAAAAAAGCCGTTCATACACTTTCTCCTACATCCTACCATGCTTCATATGCCTTCACCCTTACTGGTAATGAAATTTAATAGAAGATTCATAACAAAGTCTGATGTGAGCTGGGTTTGGTGGTGCACATCTGTAATCCCAATACTTGGAAGGTGGAGACAGGAAGGTCAGAAATTCAAGGTCAACCTTGGCTATATAGCAGGCTCTAGGCCAGCCTGGGCTATATAAGACATATCTCAAAAAAAAAACCCCAATAAATAAATGTACTTAAAAAAATGTATCGGGGCTAGAGAGATGGCTCAGCGATTAAGAGCACTGGCTGCTCCTGCAGAGGACCCAGTTTGGTTCCCAGTACCTACATAGTAGCTAACAACACAGTTCCAGGGGATCCAATGCTCTTTTCTGGCCTCTGAGGGCATTGCATGACACGGGTGCACTTATATACATGCAGGTAAAATACACATATGCTAAAAATAAAAAATAAATGTAAAGACATAGATGGAATAATTATTCCTTTAATGAGATGCTGTTCTTTTCCTTCCCAGAATCCCCGCTTCTAGTGCAGTTCCTACAAGCCTAGCAGCCATGAGGTTCAATGGGTCTGCCCACTTTTCTGAGTCTCAAAAGGGTACAACTTTTCCTTTCTCTTTTTTCTCTTTCTTTCTGATGGGTCCAGAACCAAGTATGCTTTTTCTGATATTTTGGGTTCCTTACTCTTTCCAGTTCCCCTCCCCACGATGTAGCTGCCACCGCCACCTGTCTGACCTCCAAGCTGGTAACTCAAATGGCATGGCTTTTTTCCTTCTCTTCCATTGTCTTTCTCTGGGCAGCTGGTGAGATTTATAGCTTACCTGACCTGGTTTTGTTTTGTTTTGTTTTTTCTTTTAAAATCTAATGAAATTGGCCTCAAGCTCCCATTTGAATTCATTCTTAATTTTTATTTTTTTATTTTTTGGTCTTTTTGAGACAGGGTCTCCCTGTAGCCTCAGCTGTCCTGGAACTCGCTTTGTAGACCAGGCTGGCATTGAACTCACAGAGATCTGCCTGCCTCTGCCTCCCGAGTGCTGGGACTAAAAGCATGTGCTCCCATGCCCAGCTTAAATATTGAGTTTATTTTCCTACATAAAAGAAGTTCAAAGCATAGTGAGACTGACAAAAAAAAATAAAAAAAAAAAAAAAAAAAAAAAAGAGGCTCATAAGTAGGTACTTTTGTTTTTTGAGACAGGGTCTCCCTGTAGCCTTAGTTGTATATAGACCAGACTGGCCTCCACCTCACAGAGGTCTGCCTGCCACTGCGTCCCATGTGCCCTAAGAAGTGGGTAATTTTGATTAGTATGAAAACTACAAAATACATCAGGAATCTGGGCTGTTTCTACATTTCAATTCCACCTTCCTAAGCACCTGGTCTCAATATGCATATTGCCACTGGTTGGTAGACTGAGCTACAGGTATCAATGATGAGGCCCTGGTCTAAGCAGTACTTCTCTCCTCCCCTCTCCCCTTCTCCTTTTTTTTTTTTTTTTTTTAAAGATATGCTTCCACCTGTCAAGTTTTGGGATTACAGGAATGCACCACTTTAAGAAGTGTGGGTTGAAAAAAAAAAATAGCAACAGTAAAAGATTTTTAAAAAATTACATTTTACTTATTTGGGTGTGCATGTGCGTGGGTGATTGTGTGCCATGGTATGTATGTGGACATCAGGGGACACCTTCTGGGACTTCTCTCCTTCTACCATGTGGGGCTCAGCGAACTCAGGTTGTCAGGCTGCACTTTGCCCACTAAGCCATCTCACCAGCTGAGTAAAAGCTTTCTGAGTCTTCAACAACCAAAAATTAATTCAAAATCAAATGAGTAATTAAGCAAAGGTACTTTTGGCAGCACTTGCCTGTGTTACAGTGCACTGCTGCCCTACAGGTTTTTTTTTTTTTTTTTTTGTCCCTGTCTCAAAAGAAAAACAAAGAATGAATGAGTGGCTTCATATAATAACCAAAAGTACTGTGGCTATTACAAATGATGGATGGAACAAATCATTAATGGTCATAATATACAATACTAATGCAGAGTACATTGTTTTTTAAATTAATTGTTTTAGATTTTATATGTATGAGTGTTTTACCTGCATGTATAAGTGGACCCATGTCCTATAATGCCGGTTGTGGTTAGACAAGGGCATCGTTGGATCCCCTGGAACTGTAGTTACTGAGGGCCATTAGCCACATGTGGGTGCTAGGGTCTCTGCAAGAGTAGTCAGTGCTCTTAACCGCTGAGCCATCTCTCCAGCCCTTACATTATTTTTTAAAATTGTACTTTGTTTAAACACAGTCTTTTCAGGCCAGGCATGGTGACACACACCTTTAATCCCAGCACTCGGGAGGCAGAGGCAGGTGGATCTCTGAGCTCAAGGCCAGCCTGGTCTACACAGTGAGTTCAAGGCCAGGCAGTGCTACAGGGAGACACGCCCCTCTCAAAAAAACCAAAACAAAACCCCAAAACACTATTTCCTTATTTACTGGCATCAATAAACAAGAATAAAGAATAAAATTTACATGTCTTACATTGCATTTGTGAGTGTTCTACAGATTTCTTCCTTCAAAACCAAAACAACAACCGGGCGTGGTGGCGGCACGCCTTTAATCCCAGCACTGGGGGGGGGGGGGGGACACCTTTAGTCTCCAGCACTTGGGGGGCTGAGGCAGGCAGATCTCTGTGAGTTCCAGGCCAACCTGGTCTACATAGTGAGTTCCAGGACAGCTGGAGCTCAGAGAGACCCTGTCTCAAAAAGACCAAAAAACAAAAACAAAAACAAGCCCCCCAAAACCAAAACAACAAAAAAAACCCAAAATGCCATCCCAGAATCAAAATCACCACTTTTCTGGAGACATTACATTGTCTTCTCAATTTTAATTGGTCCTTTGTTTTCTTAAAACTTTTATTATTTTATTTTATTTCATTTTTAAATTTAATTTTATTATGTGTATGAGTGTATTGCCTGCATATATGTAAGTGCACCCAAGCAGTGCTATATCGTCCTGGTGGTCAGAAGAAGGCGTCGAATCCCTTGGAACTGGAGTTATGGCCAGTTGTGAGCCTCCCTGTGGGTGCTGGGAATCGAACCCCGGTCCTGCGCAGTGCCCTTAACCATCTCTCCAGCCCCATTAATTGATCCTTTGTTTAACGGAGGAGAAAGAGGAGGTAACAGTTGTCCCAGGGGCTTCCGTACAAGATGGCGCTGCCCAGTGGCACACTCCACCTGGAGTTACGTTCTCCAGACCGCCACCGCGGGGCCGGAAGTGGTTACTGTATTTATGCATCCGGGTGGGTTCGCGCAGCAGCCACGGAGGTTCCAGCTTGTCAGCGCGAGGTGCTGCAGGTGTTCGGGCGAGGTTGGAGGCCGCAGGTAAGTGAAACTCGGGTTGGAGAAATCTCGAGGGTTGTGCGCTGGGCAGAGGGGATTTCCTGTGTGAATCGGGAAAAGTCGTGATGCTGGGGGCACTACTTCGTGCGTGGGCGACTGTTGGGATCCCGGTCCCCAGGCGTTGTTGGTCCTGCCCCTCTCCCCGCCCTCAGGCGCGGCCTCAGGGTCCCTCACTTCGAGTGGGCGGTTGAGCACTCCGGTACGCGGGAGGACAGTCCTCCCGGCCATTGGTCCCCGCGCCTCTCCGGGCCGCCCCTTCACCTGCTTGTCTCCTCTTTTAGAGCATCCAGCAAATCCTGGAGGCTTCCTGACCCAATCAGCTGAAAAGGAGGCCCTACCCGCCGTTCCGGTAACTCCTGGGCGCTGCGCGATCCCCGCCCGCGGTCCGCGCCGGGCTTCTCGGGACCCTCCTCCTTCAGCTCCCCGCCCGCGCCCCCGCTGCTCCGGGCTTGGCTTGGAACCCCCCGCCCGCTCGCTTTCCCTTTTCACATCCGTAGGGTAGATCAAGAACCTTAAACCTTATTTATTACAAAATACACATCTGCTCATTAAAATTAACCCAAGCCTTTATTGAGCTTTTGATGTACGGGACCCGAATGCCTCTAGATAACGCCTCCTTGGAAGCACAAAACTCTCTACCTTATTTATTTTTGTTTTTATTAGCATTTATTAATTTCATGTAATGACGGGTTTTATTAGGGCATTTTCATGCACGTGCTTGATAAGTCTCATTTGTATTACAGTGAAGGGAGAGATCACAACCGACAGGCTTTGAGAATTATTTAAATTAGAAAGTGTGGTAGAAAGAGAGTTTAATAGGAGAAAAAATTATTACATTTGGTCATGTTGAATTTGTTTTAAAAATGCCTTTTTTGCAGACAAGATCTCACAATGAATCCCTGGCTGGACCTGATCTCACTATGTAGACCAGGCTGTCCTGGAACCCATGCCTCTGCATCTCAAGTGCTAGGATTCAGAGGGTGGGCTACCATGCCCAGCAAAAATACATTTTAAAAATATTTATTTTTAGTTGTAGTTCATAGTTCATGCATATACTTATAAAGAAAAGGTCATGTAAAAACCAAAACATTTTCCTCAAATACTTTTCTCAGTATCTTTTTAAAAAAGATGTATTTATTTATTTGTTTGTTTAATGTCTATGTGCGTATCTGTGATGTATATGTAGATTCCCGGGGAGGCCAAAAGAGAACACTGGATCCCTGGAGTTGGAGTTACAGGTGATGTAGGTGCTAGGTCCTCTGGAAGAATAGCAAATGCTTTTAACTCCCTGAGTCATCTCTCCAGCCATTACTTCTTTTTAAAAAAATTACATTTTTTTGCTGAGCATAGTGATGCATGCCTTTAATCACAGCACTGGGCAGGCAGAGGCAGTTGTATCTCTGTGCGTTTAAGGCCAGCCTGGTCTACATAGTGAGTTCCAGGCCAGTCAGAGCTACATAGTAAGGCTCTATCTTTTTTTAAAATTAAAAAAAAAAAAAAAAAAAAAAAAAAAGGTTTGGGGCTGGAGAGATGGCTCAGCAGTAAGAGTACTGATTGCTAGAGGACCTGGGTTTGATTCCCAGTACCTACGTGGTGGCCAACAACATCTATAACTCCAGTTCAAGGGTATCCAATGCCCCATTCTGACCTCAGCAGGCATTGCATGACACAGGTGCACTTAACATACAGCATAATACAGGCAATACACTCATACACATAAAACAAAAATAATAAAATACTTTTAAAAAAAAAAGGTTTGAAGTCGGGTGTAGTAGTGCCCGCCATTAGTCCCAGTACTCAAGAGGCAGAGGGAAGCAGATCTGTTAGCTCAAGACCAGCCTGGTCTACATAGTGTGAGTTCCAGACTGGCTTGGAGTACAGGGAGACCCTGTCTCAAAAAGACCAAGAAAAAAATTTTTTTTTAAATTTCCTATTAAGCTTTTACAAATGTGTACTTTTATAAATATGACATATTGTCCATATTCTACAAGTTGATGATTTATGCTTAAAATGAGTATTGAAATTATTCCATATATAGAGGCCAGCCTACTCTTTCCACTTGTTCTATAAGTTACATGTTAACATTCCATAGTATGTGAAATTCCATATGTTGTTTCTCATTTTCCACTGTTGAATACCTGGTGCCAAGAGCACCCTTCTACATACCTCTGTGTGCCCATGCAAGCATTTCTCTGAGATGGATCCCTACAGGTAATTGCTGAATGGGAGGCTGTATACACTTACTAATACCACATTGCCTACCAGTACTGTATCATGGTGCCCATTTCCCCAAGATTATTTTACTATTTATTTTTATTTTATGTGCATGAATGTTTTGCTTGCCTGTATATAAGTGTGCTACATGTGCAAGCCTGTGGATGCCACAAGAAGGCATCGAGTTGTATCCCCTGGAACTGGAGTTACGGACAATTGTTAGCCACCATGTGGGTGCTGGGAACTGAACCAATGTCTTCTGCAAGAGCCTCCAGTGTTCTTAACCACTGAGCCATCTCTCCAGCCCTCATTTTTTTAAGATTTATTTTTAAGTGTGTGTCTGTGTGTGTCTGTGTCTGTTTTAGGACCAAGAAGTATCAGATCTCCCTGAAGCTAGAGTTACAGGCAGTTGTGAGCTGCCTATGTGGGTGCTGGGAACTGAACTCAGGTCCTTTGTAAGAGCAGTAAATGCTCTTAACCACTGAGCCATCTCTCATTTTTTTAACCCATTGAATCTGATTTGGGCCACTCTTATAGTCTTAGGTGTGTGGCTATCCACTGGAGTGTGGTTGACCTACTAGGGGACCACACTCTTATTAAACTGACTCTCCTTTTCCCAGCAACTATCAGTTACCAATAGCTCCTTAACTAGGGCTAGGACATTGTGCCCACCTCCCCTCTCCATGCTGAGATTTTTGTCTGGCTTGAGCTTTTGCAGGTCTTGTGCATGCTGTCACAACCACTATGAGTTCATTTGTGCATCTGCCCTGTCGTGCCCTGAAAATACTGTTTCCTTGCAGTCATCCATTGCCTCCGGCTCTTAGAGTCTTTCCGTCCCCGCTTCCACAATGATCTGAGCCTTGGGAAGGGAGGGTGTGATATAGTTGTCCCATTTATGGATAACCATTCTGCAGTCTTTTTATTCTCTACACCTTGACCACTTGGGAGTCTCTGTTTTAATCACCATCTACTGCCAAAAGAAGCTTCTCTGATGAGTATTGAGCTAAGCTCCTGGCTAGCTCCTGCTGGGTGGTGCTATACTCACTACTGGAGGAGAAAAGTAATCATCAATCTTACCTAGCTGTGAACCCTGCAAAGTTCAACTACCAGCCTGGCAAGATGAATGCCATGGAAATAACCAGTTATTTTCTCCTTGGATTTAAGGCCATACCTGACACCATTATTGGGACCAAGAACTTGTGACTGGACAGGTTGTAGGCCCTAGGGGAGATCCTACTATTATTCTACTACATGGACATAGTATTAAACCAATTCTTAATGACTGACCTTTATACTCATAGATTAATGCATCTCTCAATCCTTCCTTCCTTGCTTCTGCCCAGCTTCTAATGGTTAACAATCCTTAGCTTTCCTTAGTTCGAAATGACATGACTTCAGTATCTATCTCCATCTTCACCTGTGTGTCTGTTACCACATTTCATTCTCCCTTTGTCTTTCTTTGCTGTAGGACATCATCAGTCACACTGGGTTAAGACTACACTCTAGTATGATCATCTTAACTGGCTAATATGGAAAGGCCAGTATTTCCTAATAAGGCCATCATGGTCACAGGGTTCTGGGGGTTAGAACTTCAATATATTTTTGGAGGACACAATTTAACCCATAACCTGTTGGATGGGTTTATTTATTTATTTATTATTTATTTATTTTGGTTTTGTTGTTGTTGTTTGGAAACAGAGTCTCCCTGTAGCCTCAGCTGGCCTGAAACTCACTATGTAGATCAGGCTGGCCTTGAACTCAGAGATCTGCCTACCTCTGCCTCCCAAGAGCTGAGACTACAGGTGTGTGCCACCATGCTGGGTTCGACCCATAACTTGTAAATAAGCTATGTTTAAAAAAATATTTATTTTTATTTTATGTATATGAGTGTTCCATACACATAAAGGCCAGGAGAGGGTGCTGGATCCCCTGGAATTGGAGTTATAGATGGTCGTTACCTGCCATGTGGTTGCTGGGAACTGAACCCAGGTCTTCTGCAAGAGCAGCCAGTGCTCTTCTGAGCCATCTCTCCAGTATGTTATATGTGTTTGTCAGTTAATGGACTTTTGGGTTGTTTCTACTTTGGGACTGTTATAAATAGTGCTGCTGTGAACTTTCTTGTGGACGTGTTTTCATTTCCCTTAGATATGTGGCTGGGGGTGGAATTGCTGGGCATATGGTGACTTTATGCTTAACTGTTTGCAGAACTGCCAGACTGTTTCCCAAAGCAGCTGTACCATTTGGCATTCCCACTGACAATGTATGAGAGTTTCTCATTTCTCCACATTAGTGCCAGGACTTACTGTCTTTTTGAGAGCCATGGAAGTGGCTTTGAAGTATTTTGCTGTTGTAATTTTGATTTGCATTTTTTCTAATAGCTAGCGATGTTAAAGATCATTTTCATGTGCTATTTGGCCATTTCTCAATAATTTTTTTAATATTTTGTTTATTTAATGTGTATGAATGTATTCCTGCATGTGTGTAAGTGCATCTGTGTCGTGCACTGCCTGAGGAGATCAGAAGAGGGCCTTGGATTCCCAAGAACTGAAGTTACGATGGTTGTTAGCTGCCATGTGGGTGCTGGGAATTGAACCTGGGTCCTCTGCAAGAGCAGTCAGTGCTCTTAACTGCTGAGCCATCTCTCCAGCCTGTCTTCCTATTCTTTTTTTTATTTATGTGTATGCGTGTATTGCCTGTGTGTAGGTAAGTGCACGTGTAGTGCAATGCCTGCAGAGGACAGAAGAGGCTGTCAGATCCCCTGGAACTAAAGTTATTGACAGTTGTTAGGCTGCCATGTGGGTGCTGGGATTCGAACCCAGGTCTTCTGCAAGGACAACCGATGTTCTTAACCACTGAGCCATCTCTCCAGCCCCTCTGTCTTCCTATTCTTAATCAGTTTTTAAATTGATTCATTTGTCTTTTTATTATTGAATTGTTAAGAGTTTATATTCTGGCTGGGTGTGGTGTCACACGCCTTTAATCCCAGCACTTGGGAGGCAGAGGCAGGGGGAATCTCTGTGAGTTCAAGGCCAGCCTGGTCTACACAGGTGGGGATACAAAGAGACCCTGTTTAAAAAAGACAAAAAAAAAAAAAAAAAAGAGTTTATATTCTAAATTTATGCATTTATATTCTAA